AGAAGGAGTCAAACTCTAAAGGAACATTAAAATCCCCACGCAAGACAAGTTTTGAATTCCAATCATTTCTTAAGCATCTCCAAAATAAAGGTCTGTCCTAGTGTTTGGTGCATAAATTGCTGCAAAGGTATAGGGTGTTTCCGTAATCATGCCCTAATGATCTACATGGAACATTTGATGGAGTTCACCTAGTATTGGTGGAAACAATATCTAAAAGCAAATCAAGGTTTAGATAGTGCTTCGTTCCATCACGCCATCAATTGTTCCACTAACTTGGAACAAAAACAAAAGAGTGTATACTTTAGTCCTGCAGGAGATTCTATAGGGGGAAAAAATTAAATAAAATAAAAATAATTCTCTATTTCTTTTTTCTTTGCTTTTCTGTCTCTTTGCTTACTTGTACAAAACAAAAGGGGTTAAGATTAATAGGAAGCCTCAGCTGTTGGCTGAGTAAGTAAAATCAGGATGGCACATACGTAATTAGACCATGGCGGGCATTCATTCTTCAGTTCTCCGTAGGTTACTGAACCAACCCATGGAAGTGGAACCCACTCCGTGCATTTGCATGGCTCCACCAGTTCTAGCGGGTGAAGTCAGAGAATGAAGTATCCAATTTTGAACGGAAATGTCTGGCAGGGCACTACCAGAATGCAGGAACCTCTTCTGGCTACCTGAGGTGATGCCAAGAATTTCCCCAGTGAGGCATCTGTCAATCCTAAAATAGATGTCTAAAATAGATAAAAAAGATCTTGATAAGATAATGGATACCGCACTCTCCAGGTTTCCATGGTGTTTGGGGCTTGAGGACGGCCAGGTCTCACTTTCAGATGTAGAACATAAATATTGATCCAGGCACTCAAAGATAAAAGCCAACATAAAACCGCAAAAGGATTCTGTGACTGGGTCATACCAGTACACATGCTCAAGAGTGCATGTAACTGTATGTATGTCCACTGTCACAGAATCAGTACACCAGTGAGACACTCCAGGGGTGTCTTGGAGTTTAACCCCTATTTTATGCAAAAAGAAAGGAAGGACAAAATTCTCTCACAATTGTGAGAACGGGACCCCCTGGATACTAAGCAGTATCCTAAATAGATAGATGGTGGATGGCTACAGTAAAAGTAATTGTAACAGAAAATGAAAAGAGTAACAAAATTAGCAGAGATGGCTAGTTAGTTATGTACAATAACATCCAAGCCTTATAAGGCTGTTCCTTTATCTCTCACTACTATTCAGCCAAACAATATAAAAAAATCATGCACACGACTGGCTTTATTAGACGGTTGGCCAATGTGAGCATTTGTTTGATAAAAGGGTAAATCCTAAGTAGTACATTGTTAGATTCCTATCTGTAGAGGATAGGAGGACTTATGATATCTCACATAGCATGGGGTACCGGCATTGACTTATCTCCTCATCAATATTATATAGAAGGAACCAGTGTGTCCAAAATTATGCCCTCAGATTCTCAAGTGTATATATGTTTCAAACAGTATTACTGAATGCGAGTGGATTTCCTTGGTATACTGAATCTACACAGGGACCATTTATACAAAAAAAGAATAAAAGAGAAGGTTAGAACAAGCCTCTTTCCCTTGGAATCTAACTAGATAGATAATGGAGAAAAAAACTAAAGAAATGATTAATGAGCCATCATGTTACTGAGAGTGTTTGGATATGCCCAAACATGCAGTGCAGGAGTGCGAGGAGAAGTGAAATAACGTGCCAATAATAAAAAACAGAAGAAAACAACCCAACGCGCATTTCGGTTCAAAAGTATGTGCACCTTCATCAGGGAAGGAAAAGAGAGTTTCTGTTACAATTACTTTTACTGTAGCCATCCACCATCTATCTATTTAGGATACTGCTTAATATCCGGGGGAGAGGCATTCTCACAATGATAAAAGCCAACATAGCAGCAGCTTTATTTAGAACAAAACAATAGCAACGTTTTGACCCAGCAGAGTCTTTGTCAAGCTTTACGAAGACCGTTCTGGGTTGAAACGTTGGTGTTGTTTTGCTCTAAATAAAGCTGCTGCTATGTTGGCTTTTATCCTTGAGTGTCTGGATCAATGTTTTTAGTTCTCTATCGGGAAAGATCTTGAAACTTCTTGTGTACCTTCAAAGTCCAAGTCAGTCCCTGGATCTTTCACCATGATCTTCTCCTTTAATAAGAAGGATCTAAGGTAGAAGATGGGTGCTCCCTCAACCCTCCTAGGCTCCCTCATGGGCCCTTTCAATAGTAAGATCCATTCTAGGCAAAATAAGCATTGTAGAAGTTCTTCTACTTTTTTCCCTTATGGGGCTTGAGGAATCCTGATATAATTCCAGCATCCATGGTAATCAATATTTTCCACCTGCCTCCACAGGGCCAACAACATGTTCCTTTGGCGCTTAGTTGTTAGTTCCAACATGGAACTGCTGTGAGAAGGCTTCCACAGCCTCTACCAAATGGTCTAGCGTGGACATCTAAACCCTCAACTAGGCCACTCCCATCCGGATAGTGGGATTGGGGTATTCTACCAGAGCTGTCAAACCAGCCTTTGTAATACTCAGGACCTTGAGTTTGTATAGACTTTTTTTCTTCTTCAATGTTTCTACAATCTTTGTTTCAATACGTAGGCATCTTGTTGTCATCCAAACATACTTAAGGCTGTCAGGGTTTTCTGGTATATATATAATATTTTAGAGTTACCTGTGATGAAATCTATAGTTGCAAACGTTTTGTCAAATTTGATTTTAAGGAAGTGCATTAATTATGAGTACAGTCTGTATTCCTACAGACGATGCAAATTTTGCATCTGAAAACCTTTTTGAGTTTTTAAATCAGGGGTTCTGAATATAGTGCGAGGTTTGTTGGGAATGATATGCTTTAGTACTTCATCTAGTTTTATACATTTCAGTGTTTATTACCGTATATACTCGAGTATAAGCCGAGTTTTTCGGCACATTTTTTGTGCTGAAAAACCCCCACTCGGCTTATACTCGAGTCTAGGTCTGTATTATGGCAATTTACATTTCCACAATACAGACCAGGACCGCCGGGTTCATTACAAGCCCGGCGGTCCTTTTGGGGGCTGACAGTGAGCTTTTACTTACCTTCCTGCAGCTCCTGTCAGCTCCCTTCTCCTCCGTGCAGCTCCCCTGTCAGCTCTGTTCTGCTTACAGTGTAAGTCTCTCGCGAGGTTTACACTGGGAGCAGAACGGAGCTGCACGGAGGAGAAGGGAGCTGACAGGAGCTGCAGGAAGGTAAGTAACAGCTCACTGCCAGCCCCCCCACTGCACAGCCCATCCACTGGACCACCAGGGATTCACATAGCCCCCCTTCCTGGCCAGGCAACAAGCAGGGAGGGGGGACAAAAAAAATAATACAAATATTAAAAGAATAATATAATAATAAAATAAAATAATAGAAATATTAAAATAATAATAAAATAATATAATAAAATAAAATACAAATATTAAAATAATATTAAAATAAAAATGCCCTCCCCTCACCCAGTTTACACACACTGCATTCACACAAACACACACTGCATTATATACACACTGCATTCATTATATCCACACACAAACACACACACTGCATTCATTATATACACACAACACACACACACTGCATTCATTATATACACACAACACACACAAACAAACACTCTGCGTTCATTATATACACACACAACACACACACACTGCATTTATTATATACACACAGAAACACACACTCTGCATTCATTCTATACACACACTGTAAATAAATATTCAATTAATGTAATTTTATTGGGATCTAATTTTATTTAGAAATTTACCAGTAGCTGCTGCATTTCCCACTCTGACGAAGGTGCTCTTGTACAGCACCGAAACGCGCGTCAGGCGTTTCTTTTTTGTTCCTTAGGGACACTTATTATTATTATTATTATCATTTATATAGCGCCAACAGATTCCGTAGCGCTTTTCAATATTTTGAGAGGGGGGATGTAACAATAAATAGGACAATTACAAGAAAACTTACAGGAACAATAGGTTGAAGAGGACCCTGCTCAAATGAGCTTACAGACTATAGGAGGTGGGGTATTAGAAACATTAGGACAAGAAATATCAAGTAGGAGTGAAGCAGAGCTGGAGGAGAGAGCAAAGCACTGTCCCATAGGAGAGAGCAGGAGACAGGTATGTAAGGTAGAGATTACTCTGGGAGGCCATAAGCTTTCCTGAAGAGATGGGTTTTAAGGCCCTTCTTAAATGATTGAAGACTAGAGGAGAGTCTGATGGCAGTAGGCAAGCTATTCCATAGGAGAGGAGCCACCCGCGAGAGGTCCTGCAAGCGCGAGTTGGCCGTACGGGTGCAAGCAGCGGTCAGGAGGTGGTCACGGGCAGAGCGGAGGGTACGAGGAGGGGCATATCTATGGATTAGTGAAGAGATATAAGTGGAGCTAGAATTGTTCAGTGCTTTAAATGTGTGGGTTAACACTTTGAATTGACTCCTATAGCATACAGGGAGCCAATGTAAGGACTGGCAGAGGGGTGAGGTGTGAGAGGACCGACTAGAGAGGAAAATCAGTCTAGCTGCAGCATTCATGACAGACTGTAGCGGGGCAATACGGCTTTTGGGGAGACCAATCAGGAGAGGGTTACAGTAATCCATGAGGGAAATTACTACATCATGGACAAGCTCCTTGGTAGCATCTTGCGTAAGAAAGGGGCGAATGCGGGCTACGTTTTTGAGTTGGAACCTACAGGACTGGGCAACAAACTGGATGTGAGGCTCAAAGGTGAGACCAGAGTCAAGTATGACGCCAAGACAGCGCGCTTGCAGGGATGGACTTATGTGGATATCACTGAGTTGAAGGAAGAGCGAGAGAGGAGGATCAGTATTAGGAGGAGGAAAGACAAGGAGTTCAATTTTAGAGAGGTTAAGTTTCAGAAAGCGTGAGGACATCCAGTCAGAGATGGAAGAAAGGCAAGCAGTGACACGTTGCAGGACAGCAGGGGAGAGGTCTGGGGAGGAGAGGTATATCTAAGTGTCATCAGCGAACAGGTGGTAGTGGAATCCAAAAGAGGCAATAAGTTTACCTAGAGAGGCAGAATAAAGAGAAAATAGAAGGGGACCAAGGACAGACCCTTGGGGAACTCCAACCGAGACAGGACGAGGGGAGGAGGTATCCTTGGAAAAGGAGACACTGAATGAGCGTTGGGAGAGATAGGAGGAAAACCAAGAGAGAAAAGAGTCACAGAGACCGAGCGATTGAAGAGTTTGAAGGAGGAGAGCATGATCAACGGTGTCAAAGGCAGCAGAGAGGTCAAGGAGAATTAATATGGAGTAGTGACCTTTGGATTTAGCGGAGATTAGGTCATTAGTCACTTTGATAAGAGCAGTCTCATTAGAGTGGAGAGGGCGGAAGCCAGACTGAAGAGGGTCAAGGAGAGAGTTGGAATTAAGGAAGCGAGACACACGGGTAAAGACAAATCTTTCCAAAAGCTTTGATGAGAAAGGGAGCAGGGATATGGGACGATAGTTAGAAGGGGAGGATGGGTCAAGAGATGTTTTTTTCAGGATAGGTATTACAGTGGCATGTTTAAGGTCAGCAGGAACAGTGCCAGAAGAGAGAGAGCAGTTAAAGATGTGTGTTAGGGTAGGCACAAGACAAGGGGAGAGAGATCTGATGAGGTGAGATGGGACAGGATCGAGCGGGCAAGTGGTGGGGCGAGAGGAATGGAGAAGCGCAGCCACCTCTTGTTCAGTAGCCGGGTAGAAAGTCTGGAGGGTAGGGAAAGCAAGATTTACATGTGGTTGAGAAAGAGAACGGCAAGGAGGGGAGAATTGTTTCCTTAGCTGTTGGTAAAGTAGCATGCAAAGCTATCAGCTGTAAGGTTAGTTTGGGGCGTGGCCACAGCAGGGCGGAGAAGGGAATTAAAGGTGTCAAAGAGACGTCTGGGATTGCGGGAGCATGAACTAATGAGAGAGGAAAAGTATGACTGTTTGGCGAGGGCTGCGCTGTATGAAAGCAACATGAATCTTTAATGGAGAAAGTCTGCCTGGGTGCGGGACTTCCTCCAGGAGCGTTCAGCACAACGGGAGCAACTCTGCAGATAGCGTGTTGATTTATTATGCCAAGGTTGGGGACGTGTCCTCCTCGAGGTGCATGTTTTGAGAGGGGCTGCAGCGTTCAAGGCAGATGTGAGGGTAGTGTTATATGTGGAGACGGCCAGTGAGGGACAGGAGAGGGAAGGGATGGATAGCAGTTGTGAATCAATGTCAGCTGACAGCTGCTGGAGGTCAACAGAGTTAAGGTTCCTCCTGAGCTGAGGGGGTTAGGCTGAGATTGTTGGGTGAGGGGGTAATTGAGAGCAAACGATAAGAGGTGGTGATCAGAGAGAGGAAATGGAGTGTTGCAGATATTAGATATTGTACATGAATAAGAGAAAATAAGGTCGAGGGTATTGCCAGCTACATGAGTGGGAGAATTAGCCCACTGCAAAAGTCCAAGGGAGGAAGTGATTGAAAGAAGTTTATAGGCTGCTGGGGTTAAAGGTGGGTTAACGGGAATATTGAAGTCTCCAAGAATTAGGGATGGGATGTTGGAAGAGAGGAAGTAGGGTAGCCAGGCAGCAAAGTGGTCAAGGAAGAGGAGAGGGGAACCAGGGGGACGATAGATTACGGCAATGTTAGCAGAGAAGGGTTTGAAAAGGCGAATTGAATGAATTTCAAATGATGGGAAAGAGGGGCGGGGGGTGGACAGGGTTTTAAAGGAGCGAGAGAAGAAAACCTACACCGCCACCTTTAATCTCTGCTTGTCTTGGATTGTGGGTAAAGTGAAGACCACCAAAAGACAGTGAGGCAGGTGTAGCAGTATCAGAGGGAGAGAGCCATGTTTCTGTTAGTGCAAGTAGGTTTAGGGAGTGTGAGATAAATAGGTCATGGATGGAAGTAGATTTAAAGGTGCTGCACACAGAGCGTGCATTCCAGAGGGCAGCTGTAAAAGAGGAATTATAGTGAGAATTACATGGAATGGGTATTAGGTTGTTGTGGTTTCTGGTGTTTGTACCAGGTGGCTGAGTAGTGGAGGGACCAGGGTTTGGAGAGACATCACCTGCTGCTAGGAGTATTAGGATGGAAAGGAAGAGAAGGTGGGAGTAAGATTTAAATGTTGAGGATGAGAGCTTGTATTTAGGGTATTTAGGAGGGGTTTGTGGAGAAAGGCTGGATAAATATGAATAAAGTGCATGTGATGAATACAGAGATGAGGGGAGCAGAGAGGGAGCAATGAAGATTGTGTTAGCAGGAACAGGTAAGTAAAATGACAGAGATATTTTAATGATGAGGGAAGTGAGAGAGAAAGTGAAAAATAGAAGTGAGAACATTAGTAGGAGCTGTATTTTTAAGAGCTGTGGTTAGGAGGCTTAAAGGTTAAAGGGGGATTGTGTGAGTATAGCTATTTTGGGAGTGGAGGGCTTGGTAGACAGAGGCTAACATAATTGGTTTAACAGGAAAGGTAGGTAATTTGAGCTATCTATAAATGTAATGATTACCATGGGGAGGGTAGGTGGGAAGCGTTCATCCAGAAATGCTACCTCTGCTTATGGCAAGTCCTGCAGGGTTGTGTGCTGGGAGTCCTGGGTGTAGCTGATTCAATATTGTATGGGGCCCAGGCTATAAAGGAGAGAATCTGGGGTTAGATAAAGCAGATTGTGGGTGGAGAATCATTGGGGTGTTAAAAACAAAAATCAAGGAAAAAACAGATGAAAGGGAATATAAATTTAAGGATATGAGGGAATGGCAGAGATAAGATAGGTAAAAGTCATAAATAGGGAACATCATAAATTAATGAGGCATGGAGTGCAATAACTAACACTAGCAAAACACTACACTTTATTCACTTAATGACACTGTATTAATTTCACGGTTTATGTGGTATTTTTATGTCTAGTAGATAGCTAGCTTACCATTACAATATACTGAGTTACTATAGATAGAAATTGTTTCACTATCGCATACAATGTTGCTGAGTGTACTGCCAGAGTAACAATTTTGTGGTTATTTAATATATTTCTCTCTCCTCTATTGCCTCTTTGAGGATCTAATAACTTTCTATTCTATTCACAGATATGACGTGGGCATTCTTAGCTCCACAATATCTGTGTTCCATAGTTTCATTACTAGTTGCTCAGTTATAGCCTCTATTTATTTATTTATCTATCCCATTCTGCTGAATGTGTAACCCATTTCCATCTATTTTTTATGTACATAGGGCATCATAGGATATGGTATATATTGGGAACACTCGAATAGAATTTATATATAGCAGAGGCTTTTTTGTAGTGGTAGTTATTTATTGATTATTTGATTTTTTTGTTCCCTGTTTGATATATTGAAACAATGATGTTAATACTGCAGCGATAATATTGAGCCTGATCTATTAAAGCTCCGAGTAGCTGCTTCTAGTATTACTTGAATAGAATTTGATATTTTTCTATCATTCAGGGCTCATATATGTTTTTCTATCTACTTTTCAATTGTGATATTAAGGGATATTTAGCCCCTTTTTAATATATGTATTGATTAATTTTTCTAGACTACTTTGTTATTTCCAGGCATACACAGTTTACTGCAACTGTGTTACAACGGGTGTATACTCTGTGTGTCCTTCCTTGTCTTTTTTTCTAAAGTCATTGGGGTTAACCCCCGGGAGACCCCTGGAGTCCCTGTATGGTACTGGGAAGGCTGGTCTCTACTGGGAACGCCAATCTCAATAGGCGTTATACGGTGGAGATTCACTTTTCCCTCTGTATATTTTGCATTTCCCACCCTAGTCTTATACTCGAGTCAATAAGTGTTCCCAGTTTTTTTGTGGTAAAATTAGGGGCCTCTGCTTATATTCGGGTCGGCTTATACTCGAGTATATATGGTAATTAGTATTCTAAAAGCTTATTAGCCTGATATTAACGCTCCAGATAGGACACAGTGTTGCTGTACCCAACAAGTAAACAAATAATAATAATAATAAATCTGAATACTGAAACATATTACTAGGACTAAATGTAGAATGTAGAACAACCCAACACTAATTGTAATCCTACTCTACTCTTATCGCTAAATCTAACTTTAACTGTATCACAACCTTACTACTTACCCTAAATAAACCCCTTTGCTAAAATAGGTTTCCTAGTTAAAACAACAGATTATGGTCTGTGACCTCCATCTACTGGCTGTTTTTATAATTATATTCAACGTAATTATGAATGAAGCCTGCTTCCCAGCACTGTGATCAGAGCTGGGCAGCTGGCAAAGTCAGCACCAACCACAATTGCCTGAATTTCAGTAGAGCAAACAGCGCAGCAAAAAGGTTAAATGTCGATTTTGAAATTTGTAATTTTTTATAACTTTTTTAAGAATTTAAAATAAATGTATGTAAATGTGAAAGTTTATGTAATTTATATTTATAATTCTTATTATAATAGTAATTCTGGCTTTCTTTCTGATGTGTACTATGATATGAACTATGTATATTTGTTTAGGCGATATTCCCTATTTTTCATTTTTTTTTTTTTTAAAGTGTATATAAATAAGAAATGTGTTACTTTGTAAATTGTCTATATATTTTCTCAGGGAGGAGCAATGAACAGGTGTGGAGTTCGAAGACCTAGGGCAGAGAAAGATTTGGATACTGCGAACACACAGCAAGCTGGGTGGAAGCCAGAAACTTTTAAAGCAATGTTTGTGAGTCTCTAAGTGTACAAGTGCTCACATTATTTAAATATATTATTATTAGAAGGGGTGTGAATATGTGTTATACAGTATCACACTAATGTGATTTCCCTGTTCTCTCCTTCTCTTCTGTGTATCGTGGTGTTCCTTCCAGAGAGAAGATATTTCTATTAGTGGTGTCTACTCTCTCTTTTTCAGTCTTTAAATTAGCAGGTTGCATAGGCTCTGGTGCATGTGAGTTGGATACTATAAGGGTGGTTCTGATTATTTTTGGATTTTCTGCACCATATGTTTTCTGTTTTTTAGGTGTAAGAATATGACTTGTAAAAATATTTGTATGATTTATAAGTAGAGCAGCACGTATTGTGTATGGTGCATTGTTAGTGTTGCAAGCAGCTCACCAAAAAGTCTGGGGCCACTAAAAATGGTCCCAGCTGACAGACGGGAGTTCTAGGTGTTGATTGATATGTGGGACTCTCTAGTGTGGACAGGGATTTAACCCTGTTCACACCAAAACTTCAAGACATGTCAGGACGCCTTAGAAGCATTAAAGGGATTCTCCAGTGCCAGGAAAACAAACCCATTTCCCTGGCACCAGGGAATCCTAGAGTGTTTCCCCTCTCCCGCCCCCATCTCATGTTGCTGAAGTGGTTAAAACCCCTTCATCTACTTACCTGAATCCAGCACCGATGTCCCTCGGCACTGGGTCAGGCTCCACCCACGCTACTCCCCCACCGACTTCAGCCGGAGGGGATGACCTAATGCGCATGTGCGTCACTGACCGCGCATGCGCATTAGACTCCCCAATAGGATTTTTCCCAATTGTTCAATGCTTTCCTATGGGAAAAATCTGACGCTGGAGGTCTGTGAGGACGTTCAGCGTCAGATAACGGACCAAAAGTCTGTAACAAATCCGGAAGCCCTCTAGTTGCTGTCTGTTAGACATTGCAGCACTAAGTGCAAAAGGGACACAGCACCAAGACCACTTCAATTAGTTGGAATGGTCTGGGTGCCTACAGTGTCCCTTTAAAGTCTTACATTAGAGCAGTGATGGCGAACCTATGGCATGCATGCCACAGGTGGCACGCCGGGCCCTTTCTGTGGGCATGTGGCCATAGGTTCACCATAAATGCAGAGTAGGCACCTGACTGCCCAAAAAGACGCCTACTCTGCTTCTGTGTCAGGAGGCAAGGGGAGGGCTCTAGGAAGCAGCTCTCCTGTCCTCCCGTGAGCAATCTGTGTGGAGCGTTGCCGCATGTTACCATGGCAACGCTCAACACAGCATCGCGCTGTTGGACAGGGGAGCTGCTCCCTACAGTACTTACCACCACCGGACCACCAGAGATGGCTGTGTCTTCCCCCTCCTTCATTAAAGGAAGGGGGGGGGGGAGGTAATACAGATTTAGCAAACTTTTTTTTACTACCCCTACACCCCCTCTCCCTACACAGCACGCCTACCCCCCCACACACACAATGAATTTGTTTCATAATGAATGACACTTATACTGCTTAACCTTGCCATACTGCTTTACCTTGCTTTAATTTTAATGAAGTTTTCTCTTGCCTATTAATAATGACCCTGAAATAATATCTTTCATGCTGGAAATATAAATTCAACAAAACATGTAAAAATGTTGATCAAATAATCCTTTCACAGTAAAATGGAATTCATTTCTGGTTGAACAAAAAAAAAACACAACAAAAATCATTCCATATATGTATAGCAGAAGTATATGTTAAATAGGTTGGACTTTATTTGGTATAATGCTGTTAAAAGAAGACACTGTGAGGTTTAAAATTGAGTTATGTACATGTACTTATGTGTTTTATTTGAGCTGTTTTTATTAGTCTCTGAATTCAGTGAAATACCATACTTACAATGCAATCCCCTTGGCCAATTCAGACATCAGTCGGCTTCATCCAATCATGACAGCTTTGTTCAGATGTTCAAAAGATACACTGCAATTATATCACCCTTACCTCCCCAACACACACAGCACCCCTACCCCACCACCCCCACAGCACCCCTACCACCCGCACAGCACAGCATCCCCTACCTCCCCACACAGCACAGCATCCCCTACCTCCCCACACAGCACAGCACCCCTCACACACACACACAACACCCCTCACACACACACACAGCACCCCCCACACACACACACACAGCACCCCCCCACACACACACACAGCATCCCACACACAAACACATACACTGCATCCCTCAATGCAGTCTGTGTGCGTGTGTACAGCCGTCTGTGTGTGTGTGTATGTATTCAGCAGTGTGTGTATTCAGCGGACTGTGTGTGTGTGTGTATGTATTCAGCAGACTGTGTGTGTGTGTGTATGTATTCTCTGTTGTTGTCTTCTTTTAAAACAAAAGTTGTTAATTCGGACAACTGTACGAGTTGTTTTTTCTAAACTTAAACCTCAGTATTCGGGTTTAATTTTCGTGTTGGCACTTTGAGGAAAAAAAAGTTAGCATGTATTGCGGTTTGGGCACTCGGGCTCAAAAAGGTTCGCCATCACTGTATTAGAGGATGCACTGACAAGTGCTAAAGTTGTTAAAGCGTTAAAAACTGATTGCACAAGTCTAGTGTTTATATATAACTTCATATGGATCTGCTTATAAGAAACAATGTTGATTTATTGACCAACATTTAAGTAGGGGAGCACTTGGGAAATAGTGATCACAATATAGTGTCTTTTGAAATAAACTGGAAAAAAATAAACAAATGTACATAGGGTATACTAAAACATAAAAAAATTTAAAGGACAATTTCAATAGGATAAGGGAAGATTTACAGTATATTGACTGGCATAAACTCTTTAGTGAAAAAAAACACTAAGGATAAATAAAATTAAATATCTTCAAACAAATATTAAAAAGGTACATTTCTCAATATAAATATAAAAGAAACAAATTGAAACCAACGTGGCTTAGTGGGAAAGTAAATAAAGAAATTAAAAATGAGAAAATGGCATTTAAACTTTTCAAATAGGACAAATCAGAGACATATTATAAAAGATACAAAGAAGCCAATAATGCATGCAAAAGGGCAATTAGATTCACTAAACTACAAAATGTGTTGGTAATAGCCAACAAGAGCAAATACTAAATGAAAGTGTAGGTACACTGAAAACTGAGATGGGGTTAATGTGGACCAGGAAAAGGCAAACATTTTAAATAACTATTTCTCCTCAGTATACATTAAGGAAGAACCTATGGCTAGAGATATGCAAATGATTGCTGCAAAAATATTGTGACTAGATAATTCAAGACAAGGTGCGGCAGCACCTACAGAAAGTTAATATAAACAAAGCACCAGGGCCTGACGGTATTCACCCATGAGTACTTAAGGAACTAAGTGTACCTCTGTTTTTAATCTTTTAAGATTATTTTCTTTCAGGAATTGGACTAGAGGACGGAAGGATGGCAGAGATGGTTCCTATATTCAAAAAATGTTTTAGAATCTTTTCCTGGAAATTATAGACCTCTGAGCTTAACTTCTGTGGTTGGGAAAGTAATTGAAAGGTTATTAAGGGATGATATTCAGGAATTCATTGAGAAGAACATTGCTATCAGTATGGTTTAGTGAAACATAAGTCATGTCAAACTAACTTAATTGCATTCCACGAAGAAGTAAGGAGAAGTAAAGATCGAGGTGTTGCAGTGGATGTGATCTACTTGGATTCTGCCAAAGAGTTTGATATGGTTCCACACAATAGGTTAGTGTTCAAACTCAAAGAAATTGGTCTAGATGAAAATTCTTGTACAGAGAGTTGTCATTAATGGTAAATTTTAAATCTGATCAAGGTTCTGACCGCTCCTGTTTAACATATTTATACATGATCTTGAAATATGGAATTTAGATAGATTAGGGGTCTAAGCACTTATATTTAATGTAGAAAAATGCTAAATTATGTACTCCAGGGTAAAGAATGCCCAATAAATGATATTGGTATTTGCGATAACAATACACAAGAAGGATTTGGGAATTGTTATAGAAAATAAACCAGCCAACAATGTGCAATGTCAATAATCAGTGGCTAAGGCCAGTAGGGTATTGTCATGTAAAAAAAAAAAAGAGGCATTCATTCTCAGGATGTGAATGCCTCTTTATAAATCACTGGTAAGACCACATCTTGAATATAAATAGTAGGATCAGGGAGCAGCGCCTGTGATGGAATTCTCACGCTCAGAGCGATATGGAGGAGGGAAGGAAAAAGACACGGATATAGTGTAGTTGTAATGCTAAACTACTGGAACGCAACTGCAGAAAAACTTTTAAATACTTCAATTTATAATTTTATTCTTTTTGTTATTGAATTGCAGGAGTGGTTACTGTAGCTTAAAACCCTTATAGCAGGTTGTTAGTTGCAGGAAAATAATAAGTTTTGCATAAGCCAAGCAGTCCCAATTAAGGATAGTGCAGAGAATGTATGCAGAATTAGATTGAATTAAATGCAGTGGAATTAGCTTCAAGAATGGTTATCAATGAGGCAGCTTATTATTTGCAACTGAGAGAAAATTGGCTTGAAGGAAAAAGTACTTAGCTTAAGAAGCAGTTTCCAGGAAAATGGAGAGTTCAAATTAAGCAGTTCCTTAGGTTTAGGAGCAGAAGTCCGTTTAACAAACCGAGGTCGAGGAGTGGAGAAGGAGGGTAGTCGTTTTCAGAGCAGTTTCGGTACACGGAGAAGCTTCAAATGAAATTGGGTAGCCGGTAAGAGGTTCACAGGAACTCGTTCAATAATCCAGCAACTTTCAATCTGGCGCGGTCTTCCTATGTAGTGTGAGGAGACCGCGTCAGAGAAGGGGCGGGGCAGAGCTCAGTCAACCCGGAAGTCGCTTAATTCGGCGAAACCGGCAGATATAACATGACAGTAGTATGTTAGTATCTTAAGTGATAGTAAATGAAGGGAAAGGAATTGCACTTACAATTTTCTGGAGCTTGTACTCAGCTCCAGATATGTGTGCCTGGATGGTATAATCTCTGTCTATGGATATGTAAATGGTCTTTGGATGTCCTCAAAAGGGGGTCTCCAGAGGTAGTAGGGTATATAGCAGTGGGCCGGTATTCGAATAGTTGGTGATATTTAAATAAGAGGATAGAAACACAAAATAGTGCTCTCTGGATGATACAAAATAAAATGATAAAAGATGGAGGTATACTCACAAGTGAAGAGCAAATGGGATATTGCTTAATATATGTAGGCATAGGTGGTATGATCCCCACCAAGGATAATACTTCTTTAGTCCTCCAGTGGGGGTGTTGGAGAGAGTTGAAAGGAATTATAAGGTGTATAAGCTCCAGAAATTTGTAAGTGCCATTCCTTTCCCTTCACTTATTATCACTTAAGATCCTAACATACTACACTATATTTGGGTCTTCTTCCTTCCCCCCTACATATCGCTCTGAGCGTGGGAATTCCATCACAGGCGCTGCTCCCTGATCCTACTATTTAGATTCAAGATGTGGTCTTACCAGTGATTTATAAAGAGGCATTCTCATCCTGATAATTAATGCCTCTTTTTTTTTACATGACAATACCTTACATATTTAGAAAATTGGGCAGACTAGATGGGCCGAATGGTTCTTATCTGCCGTCACATTCTATGTTTCTATGTTACAGGTGCTGCGTCCTGATCCTACTATTTTCACCCACCGTACCACCAGAAAAGAAGAGACTCTGGTTTTTGGGAAGTTTCAGCAGCCACATACTATAATTACAAGTACTGATATTCCACCTACCCCTCTATACATCTTGAATATGCTTTGCGATTGTGGACATCTATTCTAAAGAAGGATACTCTGGCACTAGAAAAACTGAGGTGGGCTACAAAATTAATAAAAGGAATGGAACATTTTAGTTTTTAAGAAATGTTAACTTGTTTAGTTTAGTTTAGTTCACAAACAGGACTATACATAGGACACAAGGTCATGTGTTTAGACTGGAAGAAATAAGATTTAGTCTAAGGTTTAGACTTAGTCTAAGAAAGGTTGTTTTGTTTTTACAGCAACAACAAGGATGTGGAATTCTCTGCTTGAAGAAGTGATTTTATTAGAATTTAAACAGCAATTGGATGCATACTTGCAAAAACATAATATTCAGGGATATAGTTTTTTAATTGTGGGGTAATATCTTCTTGGTCCAAGAATAAATCTGACTGCCATTCTGGGGTCCGAGAAGGATTTGTTGCAAAATTGGAAGTGCTTCAAACTGTTTTTTTTTAACTTCTTTTGGATCAACAGCGAAAAACTGATGTGAGAATGGCTGAACTTAATATACACATGTCTCTTTTTGGCCTATGTAACTATGTAATATATTTGTTTGTTTTTATTATTTAATTACCAATAGGTTATGGCTATCATTTTAGGATTGATATTTTTTATTTTTTAATCAAGTGGATAATCAAATAAATGATTTTTCTTTTTTTTTAAATAATTCTTTATTGTCAAATTGCATGTGATTACATGCAACATTTTTGGGTGTAACAGTTGTACAAGCAAAAGTATAAAGTATAAGATGAAGGTGTAAACAGTAATATTCGTCAGGACCTTAACAATATACTGCGACCCATTAAGGTTTTGTCATGCACATTTTTTGTTTATCATTTATTAAATATTTTATATAATTGCAACCCATGTGGTAGACTGTTATAGCAGAACAATATACTGCGACCCATTAAGGTTTTGTCATGCACATTTTTTGTTTATCATTTATTAAATATTTTATATAATTGCAGAATTGCAACCCATGTGGTAGACTGTTATAGCAGAGCATCAAAACATAGCATTTCTCTTCACGGGTAGGGTGACAGGGATGTTGGCCTACTAGTACATGTTTAGGCCTGTGTTGATTAACTGGTTTCAGCTGAAGTAGGGCTAGACGATAGGGCTTGTAAATTGTTCCCTGTACTCAGTGTCTACTATGTAACTGGTATTTTGTTTTTTTATTTATTTTTTAATAGAGATAGAGGTTTGGTGTAGGTACTCCGTGACCTCGGAGCTCTTACCTTGGAACAACCAGGCGACTTGTCTAATATCTAGAAGTGAAGTGGAACCTGGGGGTCTAAATGAAAAAAGGGGGGGAGTGGGGAATGGGGAGATAAGGGGGGAATCTCATGGCTGACCGAGCCTGGAATGCCATTGACAATGCAGGTGAAACTATACTTTCGGTGTACGGGAGCTGTGTTGAAGAGGTGGGGCGAGTTATATTTCCTGGGAACATGTTGCGGGGCATTGTCATTTGCCTCAGCTTGGCTGATTTTCAGGAATTTCCACCAGGGTTCCCAGGTGGTCATGTAGGTCTGGTAGGTTTTGGAGAGTGAATGGTGTACTTCCTCCATTATCTTAATGTTCTCGACCCTCTGAATCCAGTCCCTGATGGGTGGGGAGTTCGTTTTTTTTCCCAGTCGATTGGGATTAGTTGGTTCGCTGCTGTCAGCAGATGTCTGATTAGGGAACTTGTGGCTTTTGTTTGTTTGCAATGCTAGAATGGTGTGGAGAAGTTTCAAAATTCTAGACCAGAATTTTTTAATTTCCGGGCATATCCACCAGATATGTGCTGAGTCTCCGTTAGGTTGGTGTCATCTCCAACTTTGGATTTGAGAAGTTGGAAACAGTTTCTTAAGTTTGGATGGGGTGTAATGCTATCTCACAATCCTCTTGTAATTGCTCTCTTGTGTGGCCAAGTTAACGGAGGATTTGTGTACCAGTAGAAAGATCTCTCTCCAATTCTTGTCCGTTAAGGACAAATTGAGGCCATTTGCCCAATTTGAACTGAACAGTGGGGAGTGTTTTGGTTACGTAGAATCGTGTGGGTGGAGCTTGTGTGTTCGAATTGTGAGAGGGTGCGGTAGCCTTTTGGGGGGTATTGTCCCGTTTAGAGGAAGTGAGTGAGTTGGTTTTATTGGAATTTTTGTAATTGCGTGTGGGTCCTGTCTGAAAGGAGTACATCTAGTGGTTTAATCCCTTTATCATCTATGAGATTGTTCAGGGCCAAGTAGGGAGTAGTGTGATATTCCTTATAAGTAGCTCTGGATTCACCTGGTTTAAAAAGTGGGTTGTGTGAAACCGGGTAGAGTGGAGAAAGGTACGGGGATATATCTGCATGATGCCTCATGTGCGACCATAATCTCAGGGTAGGAGTTATGGTCGGGTGTTGCCAGAATTTAAGAAGTGCTTGCCATGATTTATGCTAAGGTACCATGTAAATGGGGACTTGGAAGAATGTGTTCTCTATTGCAACCCATTGCTTACTCATGATAGCGTCAGTCCATGATATGTTTCCACGTTTGGTAATCCTAGGCCACCATCGGTCTTTGGTCTGCTCAGTAACGTGTAAGACAATCTCGGATGTTTGTGGGACCATATGAATGTAGTGAATAGTTTACGTAGTGTGTCGAATAATAATTTTGGGAGCATAATAGGAAGGACGTAGAGTAGATATAAGATTCTAGGTAGGATATTCATCTTCAAGATATTTATCCTACAGAACCATCCAAAAAAGGGGATGTGCCAGGAGGTTAGGTCTTTAGAAATCACTTGAATTAGAGGTGGGAAGTTGCATTTGTATATTTGCGACAATGAGGAAGGAAGTATTACCCCAAAATATTTAATGGATACTTTGGCCCATGCGAAGGAATGAGATGTTATTAGTTGTGTTTTCACTAGGTCTGGGATGTTTCATGGCAGACTGGAGCCGACAGTTGGCTGTTTATACCGAGTTTCGCAGTCGGTTTGTAGTATAGTGCGCTCATCCGTTGGAGCCAGTTTGGACCAAAGCCCATCTGTTCCAATGTAGAGAGCATTAGGGACCAGTACACCCTGTCAAAAGCCTTTTTGGCATATATAGATAGTAGTAGGGCTCTTACGCAAGTAAATTTGGAGAGTTGTATAAGGTTTAGTATTTGTTTAGTATTATTCTTGGCTTCTCTACCAGGTATGAACCCTGCCTGATCAGGGTGGACTATTCCCGGGAGGAGGGGGTGGAGGCGGTTCGCAAGGATTTTAGTGAGAAGTTTAAGGTCTATATTGATGCTCCCATAAAGAGTGGGATCTTTTCCTGGTTTGGGCTGAATTGTGATTGTAGCATCTAGAGCTTGGGGTGGAAGGGAGGAGGTAACGAGTAGTGAATTAACGTAGTTAAGAAAGGGTTGTGTGAGCAGAGAGGAAAAGCATTTATAATATCTGGCTGTGTAACCGTCGGGGCCTAGGTTCGTTCCCATGGGAAACAATTTTATTGCTAGCTCTAGTTCGTCTTTGGAAATGGGTAGTTCTAGGGTGCGTTGTGTATTGGATGGGATGGTTGATTTAATCCTTTGCCTGAGAAAGTCTCTGACTTCGGTTGCTCAGGGTGGGATCTCCCTAAGATTGTATAGTTTGTGATAAAAATCATGAGAAGCCTCATTAATGTCATCCATCAAGCTAGATTTGGGGCCCTTGAGGTTGTTATGGTAGGCATAAATGTGGTCTGACTCTGTTTCTTTAACACGTGGGCCAGTAGCCGTCCGCATTTCCCGCCTTATTATTATTATTATTATTATTATGTTATTATTTATATAGAGGGAGAAAAAAATAAAAGGTAAGGGCTGCACCAAAGAGAACAAAATGTAAAAGGTATAACAAATAGTCCAAATAAATAGGTAAAAGGAAACGAAAAGTCTAAAATGTGCTCTTTGAGGTCGTGGAATCTATCCGTGCTTGATCCAAAACAATTGTCCTTGTTATGTTCCTCCGTATAGGTCCGCTCATA